TACCAGCTTTCAAACTTTCACCTTCCTTTTGCTTTGTCTTACAATGACTACTTTTTCCTTGAATCCTATTAAGAGTCTATAGGTGTGCCTTTCTTACAGCAATCCTGCACCCACATAAAAGTTACATTTTCATTACAGGATAAAAAGGTATTGTACATAATCTGCAAGGTTTTTGAGACTGATGGTGTAGCTGCAGTGACAGTTTCATGAATTTTTTTTTTTTTTTTTACAATGGTCCTTATGCTAGATTCATTTATCTTGAAATGTTGGGCAACCACAGCTGCAGTTTTCAACCAACAATATCAAGCAATTCAACTTTTCCTTGTATTGTCCTGACTTCTCTGCTTCTTGGGAACACTTTCAGCATCAGTAGTAGCACTTCATATAGGTCCCATGGTTTCTTACAGTATTGCACTAAACATCACCTTTTACTGTGATAAATAATTTACCGAGAGATGAACGGCTCACACAGAGATGATCTGTGTCACACAGTGTTTTACACGGATAGTCGCAATACTTAAGCTCACCATAATACCCAAGGAAGTGGCTACGAAATTACTACAGGAGCACAGTATGTACCAGTTACTTTTATGCAGTTATGATTTAAACTGCATCTTTACATTGGCTTACATTTCTCTCCACAGCAAATGGGGCCATGTACTGTCTGTATGTGTGTGTAAGTTCTGATCAATTTTAACTTTCTGTAATAAATCTGTGTATATTTTATGGAAGTAAATGATAAACGCAGGTTAGTAGCTACATATATTTTACACATCTATTTAGTATTTCAATAGTTTGAGGCTATGAGGTTCATCTGTGAGTTTTTCAAATTGTCACAAATCTCAAAAAAATTTTCCAATATATTTTTTAAAAATCTGCACATAAGTAGAGCTGCACAGTTCAAACCTGTGTTGTTCAAGGGTCAACTGTATATTTATTTTATAAGATTACTTCTATTGTTAAGTAAGCCTTAAAGAAAGTTAATTTTAATCTTGCATATGCTAGGTAACAGTTAAACATTAAATGCCAAATAAAAAGAAAAGTCTGCTCTTGTTTGTTTATTGAAGGGCTTGACTGGGTAACAAATAAATGTGTGTGTGTGTCTACCTAGCCATCTATTTACATATAATGACATATTGTTAGAGTAAAAAAAAGCAAACTGCAGAACAGCCCGGATGGTACTCTAATAGCAACTGCCAGCGATACAAGGGCTGTGGCCAAGACAAGAGAATTGGTGAACACTTCCTTATAATTTGATTATCTTTCTGTAGTAAGTATTTTCTCAGTAAGCCCGCATAACTTCTAAGTTAAAAATACTAAATTTATGAAAAACATGTCTTGATTCACTGTTGGTTTAAACTTCACAAACACCTCAAAGATCCATACCTTGCAAATGACTTCAAGTATGCCAATCAAAGCAAGAGAAAAAATAAAGAAACAAGACAAAGAAGGAAATCACAACAGTGTCTAGCCTGGCACCCTGCTATCCCCTTTTTACTGCCTTTCTTGCCCCTCTAGACACGCTGCCCCTACCACCCAAGGGCTTACAGTTCCCATCCAGTCCCTGCCTCCTGGACCCCACCATGGTTCAGCAGCCTGCCCCCACCATTCTTTTTTATTGTGGCAAAATACGTGTAACACAAAATTTACTGTTTTAACATTTAATTAAATTTAAATGTAAATTTAATGTTTACATTCACCACCATCTACCTCTAGAATGTTTTTCATTTTTCCAAACTGAAATTCTTGTCCCTACTTTCTGTCTGTATGAATTTGGCTATTATAGGTACCTCACAGAAGTAGAATCATAGAGCATTCCTCCTTTTGTGATAGCTGTATTTCACTTAGCATAACGCCTTAAGGTCCATCCATGTTTTAACAAATGTCAGAATTTCTTTCCTTTTTACCTGAAGGCTAAACAATATTCCATTGTGTGTATAGACCACATTTTGTTTATTCGTCATCCTTCAATGGACACTTGGGCTGTCTTTACAGTTTGCCTATCATGAATAATGCTGCTATGAAGGTGGATATACAAATAATCTGTTTGAGTCTCTGCTTTCAATTCTTTTGTCGATATACCCTCAAGTGGAATTTCTGGACCACACAGTAATTCTGTTTTCTGCCCCACCTTTGAACCTCTCTCTTAACTTTCTCCCCTAATTAAAATATACTCATTTCTTATTCTGCAAGAAGCTGCTGTCAGAAAGTTATCACTTGGAAAGCATCCAATTATAACAGTGTATTAATAGCTGACAAGGTTTAACATATTACACTTCAGAGATATCTGCATATTAAAGGAGGAACACCTTAAGCAAAAGCAAAAATTTCATCAAATGGTGGCTTTTCAAAGCAGCAACAGCCTGCGGGTGGGATAGGGGACCTCCAAAGGCAAGACGGACGAAGCCCTCTCAGGAACTCTCTTTACTTACTCTCGAAATGTAGGCTCCTCTCTCTTACTCTGTCCCAGACTCTATCCTCAGTTACTTTCTCTGCTGTATTTAATTTGCTATAAACTCTCTCAACAACCCTCCCTGGGGAATGCTCCCACCAGGCAACATGCTTAGGTGCTGGGGAAGCAGGGTGATCCTCATGGACCAAGTCTGGACAGTCCCAGATGGAATCTCCTTCCTTTCTCAGGTCTATTCTTTTCCCTGGGTTTCCGGTATCCTTCTGTGGCCCTGCAGTCTTTTCAAGCTCAGAGGCTTGGAGGACCTCAGGCTTGTTTATACACTAGATCCATTTACTCTGCATTCAGAAGAGTTCTTCATCATGCTCTCTCTTCCACCCCATCCCATTAGACTACTCAGGCCCTGCCCGTTACCTCTCAGGCCCCTTGCCCCCATCTTGCCCCCTCGACCCCTCCCTGTGCCTGCAGTCTATGTTCACAGTGTGTCAAGGTGCCCCACTACCTATGAAATGAAATGACAACTCCTAAGCTTACCTTTAAAAATTCTGACTCCAACTACCTTTCTAGCTTTACCTCCCACTCCCCCACTTAATGCACTCTTGTCAAACTGAAGCGAGTGCTGTTTGCTGAGCAAAGCCTGAAATATTTCATCTGTGCTTTTGTGCCTCTATTCACATCTTTCCCTGATTCTCCCTGAAATACTTTTCCTCTCAATTTGAACTTGCCTCTGAAAACCCCTGCTCTCTGAAAGGATAAAAACTGTCTTTACCTCCCTGGCTCATCCTCTCTGGCCATTCCTTCCTCTTTCTCTCCGGTACCCCAACCTCTGAGAACTTCCTTCAGTGTTTGAAGTGCATAGATTCTTTGTGGCCCCAGGGCCTTTGCACATGCTGGCTGGCACTCAGGCTGGAATACCCCCTGACCTACGCTCAAAATCACTCGTCCTCCTCCAGGTAACAAACATCAGTGCTTGAAAGGAGCCATCCTTGACTGCACCTTCCCTTTTACAGTTTCCCAGTGCTTATCACAGCTTGCAATTTAGATATCTATTTATTTGATGATGAATTTTATTATGTATTTTATTAAACTCATTACAGTATTTGCTTTTCATCCCAGACTTAGAGGGCAATGACTGTGTCTGTAATATTCACTATTTTATCCCCAGTGCCCAGTAATATATTTGGCACATAATAGGGGCTAAAATAAATCTATCTGTTAAACTAAATATCATTTTGCTCTTTGTATTTTAGTTAGCCTGCCTAAGAAGACTGGGAAAGGTCCTCATGAAGCCTACACTTAATCCAGCCTCTCAACTCCCTTTCCTCCCTTTTTATTTCTTTCTTAAAAAAGAGGGAACATGTTTAAGGATGGTGGCATGAGAAGTGAGACAGAAGCTTCCTCCCAAAACCACTTATAATACGAAAATAAAGCAAATAAACGAATTCTGAAAGAGCAACTAGAGAAAAGACTGCAACAGACTGCCTACATCTGGGGAAAAGAGAAGACCTGATGGAAAAGGATGAAGCAGCAAAGCTGCGATCTGGCAGGACCCAAGCCCTCCCCCTACCCCAGCTCACCCTCAGGAGGAAGAGAAACGGAGCAGGGAGAGGGAAGAAACCTAGGAGTGCTGAACAGCCAGCCTTGGAGATCTGCTCTGGAAGCATGAACCCATACATGGTGTTCTGGAGATTAGGCAGGATACTTGGAGAGACTGAGATTCCATCCACTGTGGAGAACAGGTACCCACAACCGGTTGCTCCAGGACAAAAGAAAGGCAGTGCTTTGACAGTTCCCAACAGCAAGAGGGCTGCTAAAGGGGCAAGGATTACACAGAGCTTGCTGCTCAGGAGAAAGGTCAGATGGACAAAATCATCTAGGCACACTAGCCCAGCAGGCTGGGAACTTTCAGGAACTTCAGGCACTCCATCCCTCTGGCTTAGAGTCGCACACCAAGGCCCCTGATGGTGTTGAGAATTGCTTGGTGTAAGTATATGTGGGAAGACGCCCTCCCACATATTTATACACACTGGAATCAGGTCCAGGTACCCAAATGAAGTTATACTACTACTACTACTGTGTATAATATTGTTACTGTTATACATATACGTAGGGAAAAAATACACCATTACATTTGGTATTGAACGAGTGGGAATCACAGTAAGGAAGCATACATAGAGAGTCAGAAATAAGGCAGAAAAGCAGGTGGGTGAAAGCCAAAGACAAACTTAACCTGCTGCAGAATTCTGCCTAGGGCAGCTCTGGGCTCTGGACAGAGGCAACTCTTTTCTTCAGACTCACTGTAACAAGTAGGCCTACTTCTTACTCCTATGGCTCAACTCTCAGTCACTTTATAACTGTTCACATGAGAAACTATATTCTAAATTCTACACAAAGCAGATTTATATCTAAATGTTGCCATTACTTCAACACTGGCAGAAGAATAACAACAAAATAAAAATGATAGCAGTAGTTATATTTTCATCTGTATAACACCCCAACTAAGACAATACAAAGAATAAAAACCAGAGCTCTAACTGTTCAAAAGAATGTCAGCAGTATTGGGGTGGCTGTAAGGTAAGTGGTCTCTTACCCAGCTGGTTCTTCATCCCCATGAGCACGGAGTTCATGTGAGCTTTGGATGCATACAGCTTGCTCACGGCCTTCCTTGACCTGATCATCTCCTTGGCCAGGACCACACAGACATCCTTCTGACCCTTCTTGGCAGCATCTTTCACAGATCGTTTCACTTTTTCTTCTTCTCTCTGGATATCTGTTTTAGATTTTGAATATAATACAAAACACCAAAAAATTAAGGGTAAACCAGATTTACTGGCATTGTCAAATTTGCTCTTACTGTGGTCTAAATGTGTCTAGGAAATAGGAAAACAGACAGGAGGATATAAATGAAAGTAAAATAATTCATGTGGTGAGTATTATTTCCAGAAACGACAGTAATCTAAAAGTAAAAAGAAAAGTAAACCCTATTATACTGGAAAAAATTTCCAAACTTTTTGGGAGTCTACTCCAACATTTGTTGATACTGTTGCTAAGGAACTTTAAAAATACTGTAAATGAATTCCAGAGCTTGCTCTAGTAATCACAAAAGTACTATTTCCCTAACTATGGGAGTATAATCTCTGTACATTCATTAATGATTTATTAAAAACCTGCAACTTAAGGAAAACCTGAACATATTAGAAGTACCATGATAGCATCAACTAGAGGTAAAGTATGTCTATATTAAGTGTTTTAAGAACAATAGAGAATATTTTAAAGTAATTTTTAATTAAATTTAAAAATTAAATATTTTTTTAACTTTTCAAAGAATATTTTTTAAAATACACAGAATGTCAGATTTACCATCTAAATCATTTTTAAGTACACAGGTCAGTGGTATTAAGTACATCCATATTGTTGGGAATCATCACCACCATCCATCCCCAGAATTCTTCTCAACTTGCAAACCTAAAACTCAAACCCATTAAATAACAACTCCCCACTTCCTCCTCCCCCAGCCCCCAGCAACCACTGTTTAACTTTGTCTTTATGAAGCTGACTATTCTATGTACATTATACAGGTATAATAATACAGTATTAATTTTTTTGTGCCTGGCTTGTTTCACTTAGCATAATGTCCTCAAGGTTCATCATGTTGTAGAATATATCAGCATTTCCTTTCTTTTCAAGGCTGAATAATATTCCATTACATGTGAATACCAAATTTTGCTTATCCAGTCCTCCATCAGTGGACACGGGTTGTTTTCTATCTTTAGCTATTGTGAATAATGCTACTATCAACACGAGTATGCAAGTATCCTTTGAGTTCCTGCTTTTAAATCTTTTGTGTATGTACCTATATTACCATAGACTGGGTACCTTAAACAACCTAAATGTATTTCTAATAGTTCTGGAGGCTGGGAAGCTCAAGACCACAGTGCCAACAACCAGTGTGGCTCCCGCTTCCTGGTTTGCAGATGGATGCCTTCCTGCTGTATCCTCACAGGGCTGAGAAAGGCATCATCTTTTGTGTCTCTTCTAAGGGCACTATACCCATTCATGAGGGCTACACTCTCCTAATGTGAAAAGGCCCCACCTCCAAATACCCCACTTCACACTGGGATCATGGCCTCAACAAAGGAAGTCTGGGGACATACAAATATTCAGTCCATAGCATCCTGCCTCTGGCCCCGCAAAGTTTATTTTCTCACATACAAAATGCATTTGTTCCATCCCAACAGCCTCAAAAGTCAACTTGTTCCAGCATCAACTTTAATTTCTAAAGTCCAAAGTCTCAACAAAATATCTAAATTAGATATGGGTGAGTCTGAAGGTATGACTGATCCTGAGGCAAAATTTTTCTCCAGCTATGAACCTGTGACAGGCAAAGGATAGATATTACCATTCCAAAAGGGGAAAATAGGAAAGAAGGAACGGGTGACAAGTCCCAAGCAAGCCCAAAACTCAGCAAGGCAATCTACGAGATCTTATGACTCTTTGGCTTGATACTCAGAACCTACTGGGGTGGCAACATAATCCCACGACTGGCAGAGCACCACCAAGCTTTGACTTTCTGTGGGGTCCCTCTCAAGCCGAGGCTCTGCTGGGCAGTGGGGCTACAGCCCCTGGGCTCTGTCAGCCACCCTTCCTAACAGCTTTGATCAGCAGCCATCTGGTGCATAGGAACTGAGGTGCTGGCACTAACACTCTCTGAAGTACTGTTAGGGATATTTCTTCCTTTCCTTGAAGTGTTGTGCAAATTCAAGGCCAAATGGTTTTATAGTCCTATCATTCAGAATCTAAGAAGTCTAACAAGCCTTCCTTCATTCCAACCTGTATTCATCTCCTTCAGTTCAAACTGGCAGTGAGCTAGCTGAATTCCAATCTCTTTATCAAATGGTTGGTCTAGCCATACCCTTGGTGTCTTTTGGACATGCCTTCTCATCTTTTGCAATATGGAAAGATAAGGCTATTCCAAATCTTTTTGCTTAACAATACTTTCTTCAACACACTTCTCTCTCCTCTCATTTTACTATAAGCCATCAGGAATACCCAAGCCACCCCTTCAACACTTCGCTTAGAAATCTCAGTAACTATACAATTGTATTGCTTGCAAGGTCTAGCTTCCACAAAACACTAGAACCCAAACACAGTTCAGCCAAGTTCTTTGCTGCTGTGTAGCCAGGACTGCCTTTTCTCCATTTTCCAATAACATGGTTCTCACTTTCATTTGAGACATCATCAGAATGGCCTTTACCATCCATATTCTACCCACATTCTGTATATGGTTACTGATGTGTTGTTCTCTAAGAAGATGGAGGCTTGACTCCAGCATCCTTTTTTTCCCTAAGCCCTCACCTTAAAAGGTTCATTTTTGGCAAAGTAGGCTTCTTCTAGCATGCAACTCAAAACTCTCATAGCCTCTACCCATTACCCAGTTCCAAAGCTGCTTCCACATTTTTAAGTGTTTGTTACAGCAGAACACCTCCTCTTAGTACTAATATCTGTATTAATCAGTTCAGGCTGCTAAACAAAAATACCATAGATTCAGTGAATTAAACAACAGAAATTTATTTCAAATAGTTCTGGAGGCTGGAAATAGATCAAGGTGCTGGGCAATTCAGTTCCTAATGAGTACCCATTTCCTGGTTTGAAAATGTAAACCTTTTTGCTGTATCTTCACATGATGGACAGAGATTGTCTTTCTAGTGTCTATCAAAGTTCCTACTCCCATTTCTGAGGGTTCCTCCACCTTCATGGCGTTTTCCTAATGCCCCCCTCCAAATACATTACACTGGGGATTAGAGCTGTAACACAATGAATTTTGGGAGAGACACAAACTTTCAGTCCACAGCAATATTCGAAAGTGGGATTGCTGGACCACATGGTAATTCTATTTTAACTTTCTGAGGAACAGCCATGCTGTTTTCCACAGGTACTGCAGTTTTACATTTCCACCAACAATGATCAATGGTCCCAATTTCTCCACATCCTTGTCAACACTTGTTATTTTGTTTTGTTTTGACTGATAGCAGCCAACCTAAGCAGTGTGAGGTGGTATCTCACTGTGGTTTTGATTTGCATTTCCCTGATTAGTGACCTTGAGCATCTTTTCATGTACTTACTGAGCAGTTATTATCTTTTTGGAGAAATATTCTATAGACGCAAAGGTCTAGTCAAGTCCTTTGTCCATTTTTAAACAGGGGCTTTTTTTAGTTGCTGAATTTGAGGACTTCTATATATATTCTGGGTATTAATTCATTATCAGATATATGATTTGTAAATACTGTAAAACCCATTCTGTGGTTGCCTTTTTGCTCCACTCAGTCTTTTTTTTAATTTAATTTTATTTTTATTTTGTTATCATTAATCTACAATAACATGAAGAAAATTATGTTTACTAGGCTCCCCTCTTTACCAAGTCCCCCTCCATGCCCCATTACAGTAACTGTCCATCAGTGTAGTATGATGCTGTAGAATCACTATTTGTCTTCACTGTTGCACAGCCCTCCCCATAACCCCCACCATATTGTACATGCTAATCGTAATGCCCCCTTTCGTTTTCCCCACCCTTACCCTCCCTACCCACCCATCCTCCCTAGTTCCTTTCCCTTTGGTAACTGTTAGTCCTTTCTTGGGTTCTACGATTCTGCTGTTTTGTTCCTCCAGGTTTTCTTTTTTCTTATACTCCACATATGAGTGAAATCATTTGATACTTGTCTTTCTCTGCCTGGCTTATTTCACTGAGCATAATACCCTCTAGCTCCATCCATGTTGTTGCAAATGGTAGGATTTGTTTTCTTCTTATGGTTGAATAATATTCCATTGTGTATATGTACCACATCTTCTTTATCCATTCATCTACTGATGGACACCTAGGTTGCTTCCATTTCTTGGCTATTGTATATAGTGTTGCAATGAACATAGGGTTGCATCTGTCTTTTTCAAACTGGGCTACTGCATTCTTAGGGTAAATTCCTAGAAGTGGAATTCCTGGGTTAAATGGAATGTCTATTTTGAGCTTTCTGAGCAACCTCCATACTGCTTTCCATAATGGTTGAACTAATTTACATTCCCACCAGCAGTGCAGGAGGGTTCCCCTTTCTCCACAACCTCGCCAACATTAGTTGTTGTTTGTCTTTTGGATGGTGGTGATCCTTACTGGT